CTACACCTAGTGTACTTTAAATTAGATAAATGGCTGGCTGTTTATGTAATCATTGTAGTCGGAATGTGAAAAATGTGTTAAGTAAAGCTCAAAAGCATCCATCCCCTTCAGGCCTTTATCAAACATTCGCATTCTTCTTTACTTAGACCACGTTCATTTATTGTAAACATTAAGAAGACAATGTAGTCAAATATTTAATTTCTTAATCAAAACTAGGGAGCATATTCATATTCTGTAATTTGGTTAGTATATGATATTATAAACTATAAGATTAATTATATACGATTAACCAATTAATTTGGTTAGTATATGATATTTCCAAAAAACCAATTCGAAATAAATCCGAAAATCAGAGTACCAAACTTGATTAGACCTGACCTAAATATATGAATGCTTTTTTCAGAATCCATAAATTAATACTAAACCAGACTCGTACCAAAAATTGAATGAGTATCTAAACATATATATATATATATATATATATAGATATTAGTTATAATTCTACTTATAATAATTATCAATACCTAAAATTAAAATTATAATTCATATATATTTGTTATTTGGGATATTTATGTATAGAAATGGATGTTGTGGATACATATATTCGCATCAAATTGTATCCATGGTTATTTTCGAATAAAAATAACCGATTAGAACCATATATGTTAAATATTTTGGTTTTTATAATATCTGAAGAGCATCTTCTTCAAAACACTAAAAAGCGAACGGATTCTACCCATACCCGAGTGGTACCCGACTGTATTTACTATATTTTTTGTTGTTGAGAAAGTCTGTATTTACTATATTTACATCACAACAAACATGCTGGATGACCTAGAAACTTCTCACATATTCAATTACAAACACAGTGAAAAAGAAACAGACAAAACAAAAGAAAATGAAAGGAGGACAAAGACTTATTTGAGCTGAGGTAGATGCAGTTAATAAGTGACTGAATTCTGAAAGGAAAAAATAAAGCTTCATATTCGATGGGTTAAAACTTAGAAATGTGATTGTATTTAAGAATTTTGTTCAAATATGCTGAAATGTTGATCGTTAACAATTCTATGATTTTAAAATAGTGTATATTTTGATTACCTTAAAGAGTATTTTACATTCTCCCACATATAATAATTCAGTATAAGCTACTGATGCCATTATTTGAATTGCTATTAAGGAGTAATTTTTCTACGAATACTTCCTGCTTTACTAGATCATAACATTGGCATGCAATTGCAGATCCGTATAGTATGAACTCAGACATAAAAACATTCAACTGAAATAAACATTCAAAATACTGCTCGTGTTTCTAAATTCTAGTTAATAGAGCCACGAATGTTTAATCAAATTAAGTAAATAACCCCATGACTTTGGATGGTTTGTGGTCACTGCTTCGTCTTTATTTACATTCACTCACCAGGGCCACAACTATTCACGACTCTTTGACAATGACGTTTTAACTATCGTGATTAAATAATCTGAGTAGTACAATATTGGCCATGAAAGTAGTCGTTGGAAATTACAGTTATCGTCCATAATGAACATACTAACTAGTCTATAGACAACACCTAGAAAGTAGAAACTAGGACTGAGCGGTTTTACAAAAAAATAAAAAAATAAAGAAGACTTTAGGACGGATAGTTCTCTTCGACACACTAGTTGCATATTCTCCACGCAAGCGCAGAGCCGGGATCATTATGTTTGCGTGTATTTTTTTCGATTGTTGGTTTAGTGGATTCTTCTAATGACACCAATTAATAATGAAATGGAAAATTTCATGTTTTAATATAGTATGTCAAAACTTGATATAATTCTATATTTATAGTATTTATATTTGCATTAAACAATTTATCAATATGAAAATAACCTTAATTAAGTTAATATTCGTTGTTTAAGTTTCATTAGATAGGTTTTTATATATGGTTTTTTGTAAGTTTGGATTTTGTTCATAAATGATGTGGCAATTTTATCTACGGAATCATCGACTGTGGGAATTCATTCGCCGAAGTTTGTTGTTTATTTTATTTTATTTCACATACAATTTGTTTTTTTAAATATTAGGAATGTGTTAAATGTTATTTATATGCGAAGTAAGGTTTATAGGAATAGTTAGGCTATAATATAGTTTTTAGTGTGTCAAAGTAGGTGTGTTTTTTTTTTGCTGTAAATAGTTTTTATATCGTAGATCAAAACTTGATATAATTCTATATTTATAGTATTTATATTTGTATTAAACGATTTATCAATTTGAAAATAACCTTAATTAAGTTAATATTTGTTGTTTAAGTTTCATTAGATAGACTTTTATATATGGTTTTTTGTAAGTTTGAGTTTTGTTCATAAATGATGTGAAATTTTTGTCTACGGCGTCATCGACTGTGGGAATCCATTCGCCGGAGTCTGGAATCGGTGGTGAGGAATGTTTTCAAGGAAATTATAGTAGTTATTAAAATCTAAGTGAAATTATATATTCATTTAATAAATAATGAAAATAATTAATTTTTGTTGTTTTATTTTATTTTATCTCTCATACAAATTTTTTGAAAATATATATTAAGAAATATGTGCAATGGTTTAACTTTTTGAGCTCCTAATCTATATTATTCAACCCTCATTAACTTATCCACGTATGCACCCGCGTGGAATTCACTTTTTTTTTGTTTTTTTTGGTCTGTTCGTTTTTGGATTTATTTTTTATTATTTTTGGGTTGAGCTATATTATAATAAGATAGTTTTAAGGTTCTTTAAGCCATCCGCGTAGGTAACCACGTGAGACTTGTTTTTTTGTTTTTTGTTTTATTGTTCGTTTTGGATTCATTTTTAACTATTTTGAGTTTGAACTTCTTAAGGTTTAGGGTTTATACAACTATTTTGATCTTTAAAACAATAAGCCAAAAAAAACATAAGAACCTTATAAACAAAAATCTCATATGATAATAACCTAAATCAAAAAATCAAAAATACATATTAGCTGCGTGGTTTGAACCCACAATCTTGCATACTTAATTAGACACCTTATACCACTTGGCTAAAGTGTATTTTATTGTTTGTGACCATCTCACCAAGACTATGTATGTTTAAAAAATATCTACGAGACCCACAAAACTACTGACGTGGCGCACTGTGGAGTCTAGAAAGTCTACTATTATAATATAGATTATAGATTATTATTTTGTTATATTTTTATGATGATGACATTAATTGGTTTATGCATGAGAGCAGTGGAAATTGAACCCATGTCCTTGGAGACCAAACATGAGGCCTTAGACCACTTGGCTAAACTGATATTCTTTGTTTGTAACCATTTTAAAAAAACTATCCATTTTAATATAAAAATGTGAGACCCACAATCTTTTTATGTGGACACCTTAAGGAACCTTTAAACTGTATCATTATAATATACATTCGTACCATATATATATATATATAAATCAAATTTGCCAAATATAATCTATTATATTAAAAGAGAAGTCATGACTCACTTCATGTGTGATATTTTAGTTTGGACCATCTTTATAGTTTTATAAAACTTTACATAACACTATAATATCTTTTCATATCTTTAATTTTTTGTTTGAAATACAAATAAATAGTTTTCAGAAAATTCTAACAAAATCTTTTAGAATCTTTTCAGAGTTTTAAGAATTATTTGATTAAAATCTTAATATCATAAAATATAACTAAAATTTTAATTCATTTTTAATTTATAAACAAAAAATTTAAATTATGTAAAATACTTTTAACAATATCCCAAAATTTTGTTTATGTATTATGTAGGTCCAACTTAATTAGTTTTTACATAGATTGCAAATTTAGAAATAAAAAAAATATATATAAATTAGTAATCTTACATAATAATTAAATTATTACAAAAATACAAATTTATAAATTTTATATTAATAATATTACAAGTCACATAAAATGATTATAAATTGGATAGCATAAATAATCAAATTATACTTATTTATTGATAAATTTTATTATATAATTTCAAATATTTTCGTATTAAAATACCCGCACGGTTGTGCGGGGCAAAATCTAGTTTATATATTTAAGACACAAAACAAATACAGTATACAGTGCCACATAAAACCAGGATCGGTCCTAGATAAACCTTAATAAAATATTTGTCTTAGTTCCTAAATTTTAAAGAACTAATCACCTTCAAACCTTTAAAAAAAAATCACCTCCAAACTATTTAAAATTATTAAAACGTACTTGCATATAGAACACTAGAATTATTTCTTTTTAATAGTATATTTTATCAGTTCTGACCGATCTACGAAAAATGTATTTTTGCTATATATATTATATCACACTGTCTAATTTGAATTTAGATACTTTCTAATTAATATCAAAACTAGCCGGATCAAACTAGCCAAATCGTCTGTTAATTAACTAATATATATATAGTCTAATAAAAAGAAAAAAATTGCATGAACCAAAATCCAAATTTAGATTGGTTAAATAACAACAATTTTATTTGTAGTAAAAACCAAACTCAACGAATTTATACCACATTTCAGAGATTTTGTCAATATGCTACCACTACTTGTCGATTATTATAATATCTTGGTATCAATTTTCTAATATGATGGAAAATACCGATTAAAAACCTTAATCTGGTATTAACTTTGTAAATTTTCATGCATCTTCTCGAATTCTCCGCACAAAATAATATTTCTGTAAAAAGATAAAAAAAGTTATGAAACGTCAAATATTATATGTTTCACTGCATGAGTCCACACTCACACACAGGTAGCCAATTAAAAATTCCTTGGGACCCTCTAGACTCCACAAACGGTCGCTACTTTACCGTTAACGGAGACGTTAGTTAACCTTCACACGCGCTCTTTAACGTGAGCCACATAATTCGCCACGTGTACACCCAACAAGACCAATTCCACAAAACAAATTGCGCGTGGCCGTACACTCGTCTCTCGGTGGCCATACCGTTTTTACCGCTTCTCTTGTCTTCTCGCTTCCTCATCCCACGGGGGCCTTCGAGCGTCTCCTCACATATATAAGAACACAACAAAAACAAAAAAACAAGACTTGTCTTCACGTATACAGACCAATCTTCGAACGTGTCTCACACATTCTAGCTTCATCCACGCGTGTGAACCAAGCAAACACGTGTGGTTTAGCGGCCCTCAGGCTCTCTTAGTGGGGCTCGCTCGCTCACTGAACCAACCATCACAAACGTCCCGCCACGTGTTCCCTTCTCCTCTTCGTCTTCTCTATATAACCTCGCTCTTGTTCGTCGATTCAAGATCACAAAACCAATCACAGATCTTAAAAGAGAGAGAGAGAGAGAGAAGATGTTCATCGATAGCTTTAAGGTAGAGAGCCCGAGCGTGAAGTACACGGAGAATGAGATTCATTCCGTGTACAATTACGAAACCACAGAGGTCGTCCATGAGAACCGTGACGGTACTTATCAATGGGTTGTCAAGCCCAGAACCGTCAAATACGATTTCAAAACAGACACTCGTGTCCCCAAACTAGGGTAAAATCAAAAGTTTGAATCTTTAACTCGTGTTCTGTAATAACCAGACTCGAATTCATCTGGGTCGGTCTTAGAATTACTTACATTTTTCGATTTTGATGATTAGGGTTATGCTTGTTGGTTGGGGAGGAAACAATGGATCAACTCTAACCGCTGGTGTGATCGCTAACAAAGAGTGAGTCAAATGTTTTGTTTTGTTTTGTTTTGTTTCTTCTGATTAGTTTTTTTGGGTCTGAGATGGCGTGTTTTGTTTGCAGAGGGATCTCGTGGGCGACTAAAGACGGAGTGCAACAAGCCAACTACTTTGGTTCACTTACTCAAGCTTCTTCGATTCGGGTCGGATCTTACAACGGCGAGGAGATCTACGCTCCTTTCAAGAGTCTTCTCCCAATGGTGAACCCAGACGATGTTGTATTTGGTGGTTGGGACATTAGTGACATGAACTTAGCAGACGCTATGGCTAGAGCCAGAGTCCTTGACATTGATCTCCAGAAACAGCTCAGACCTTACATGGAGCACCTGGTCCCACTCCCTGGTATCTACGACCCTGATTTCATCGCTGCTAATCAAGGGTCACGTGCTAACAGCGTGGTCAAAGGTACCAAGCAAGAACAAGTTGACCACATCATCAAGGACATGAGGTAACAACATCTCAAGACTCATATATGCAGATTTGTTAGTGTATTGATTGTGTTTGGTGTGGTTGAACCCTTTTAGGGAGTTTAAGGAGAAGAACAAAGTGGATAAGCTGGTTGTTTTGTGGACAGCAAACACAGAGCGTTACAGCGATGTGGTTGTAGGGCTTAACGATACGATGGAGAATCTTTTAGCCTCTGTTGAGAAGAACGAGTCTGAGATCTCTCCTTCTACGCTTTATGCTATTGCTTGTGTTCTTGAAGGCATCCCTTTCATTAATGGGAGTCCTCAGAATACTTTTGTCCCGGGGCTTATTGAGTTGGCTATATCGAGGAACTGCTTGATTGGTGGTGATGACTTCAAGAGTGGTCAGACTAAGATGAAATCTGTTTTGGTTGATTTTCTTGTTGGAGCTGGTATCAAGGTAATAGAGAGAAAGCTTCTTTATCAAGTAACATAACTTGGTTCTTTCTTGTTAGTGAAGTAACATAGTGACTGATCTTTTGTTTTGTGGCAGCCTACTTCAATTGTGAGCTATAATCACTTGGGAAACAACGATGGGATGAACCTCTCAGCTCCACAGACTTTCCGGTCCAAGGAGATTTCAAAGAGTAATGTTGTTGACGACATGGTGGCTAGTAATGGCATCCTCTTTGAGCCTGGTGAACATCCTGACCATGTCGTTGTCATCAAGGTTTGTTTATTTTTTTACTCCAGAGTTATCAGGTCCTCTTTTCTTTTTACACACGTTTCAAAGTCTATTGTTGTGCTTGTAGTATGTACCATATGTTGCGGATAGTAAGAGAGCTATGGATGAGTACACCTCTGAGATATTCATGGGAGGGAAGAATACAATTGTTATGCATAACACTTGTGAGGATTCTCTTTTAGCTGCTCCAATCATCTTGGATCTTGTTCTTCTCGCTGAACTCAGCACCAGAATCCAGTTCAAAGCCGAAGGAGAGGTTTGTGTGTTCTGCTACCCTAATACTTGCTTTAGAACTGAGTTTTTCATGTTTGGATGTTTTTTATATTACAGGGGAAGTTTCACTCATTCCACCCAGTGGCTACCATACTCAGCTACCTCACAAAGGCACCTCTTGTACCACCTGGGACACCGGTGGTGAACGCTCTATCGAAGCAGAGGGCTATGCTGGAGAACATTCTTAGGGCTTGTGTTGGGCTTGCGCCAGAGAACAACATGATCATGGAGTACAAGTGAAGGACAGTGAAGACAAAGAAGAAGTAAGAGCGAAAGGACCTAAGATCCTTTGGCTATAAGCTTTGGGATCAAATGTGTAATAGATTCAAGAGTAACTATGTTTGTGTCTCCTTGTATTATGCCAAGTATATGATCTATGAAAATGGGTATTGATAATCACAACTTAACTTGTATTTTATCTCATGAATCTATTCATCAATAAGAAACATTTGATTGTCTTGAATCACGGAAGCGAGTGAGATCTTGGCTAACTACCAGCAGAAACCACCATGAACTCGCCTTCACTTAAGCTGTACCTTCCATCTTAGCATCTCCTGCACTAACATAACAGGTGTGCGAAATTTCACATCATCTAGTTAATTGATCTTCAAGTTATTTTGAGAATTCCAAAGTTAGAGCAAAAAAATAAAGTTATTTTGAGAATTGTACTCATTTCAACCAACGAATCGATCGTGAAGTCCTTCAACTGTAATTTACTCATAACTCAAAAAGATCACAAAAAGGCATTTATTTACCAATCAGATGAAGATCTAACACTAACTTTGTCAGGATTCAGGATTCAAAACAACATATCAAACTAACAAACGGTTAACTTTTTAACATTGCTACAAGTTAAAAACCAATCTTCCCTTTAAATTAGCATTTTGATATCCACACATGGGTAACATGTCAATCATAACCAAATAGAGAAACCGGAAGACCTCTGAGCTTTATTGAAAGTCTGAAAGTTTTAAGCTTTGTTCCTCAATAATGAGAACCCCAGACATGATGGATTGATTTGGAAATGACCAGGTAATAATTAATTAAAAAATTTCAGTATTTTTTTCTATAGACAATAATGACAAGTTTCAATTTACAGTAATATTCTAGTTTGCATAATTGACAATATGTGTAACTTTGCATAAGTACCAAACATTTTCACATCTGATATGTAGTTTGCATAATTTAAGCTAAGGAAGAGTAACGAGTTGGACGTAGTAGCCACTGACAAGAATGTTGGGGAGAATGTGAGACAAAGAAGCGGAGAGACACAACGATGTTGCCCCAATGTGAGACAAAGAAGCGGAGAGACACAACGATGTTGTTAGTGTGTAATCATAGAGTTAATAAAGTTTTGTAGATACTGATAAACAAATGGCCTATTAGCTCAGTTGGTTAGAGCGTCGTGCTAATAACGCGAAGGTCACAGGTTCGATCCCTGTATAGGCCAGGTTTTCTATTTTTTTAATTTATCTATTTTTTTTCCTTATCAAATTGTTATCGAGTATGGAATGGAAATTTTATTAATTATTTTGTTAACTATCCAGAAATCTCACTAGTCGGATCTGTTTGTTATTGACCTAGTACTGTTGAACACGCCATTGAAGGGGAATTTACAAGGTAGTTTTTTTTTCTTAACTTCTTATGTTTCATCGACTGGTGTTCATAAGGGTCAATTAAATATTTAACTTGAGAATCACGCAAAACTTGGAACAACAAGTACATATACGCCTCTGTGCATTCTCTCTCAACATATCGTACAAGCTAAATCATACTCTTAAAACTAAACTCTAGGTTATAAAGACTAAGCATTGAATGCATGAATGATGAATGTTCTTCTCCCATTTGACTAATTTTAAAAATAGTTGAATATCACCTGGATTCAAAACGTTAGGTTCAGGTTCATGAACTTTTTGCACTATTTTTAGATTATCTCCAACATGAGTTGTGGTGAGATACTTGACATGTCAAGTTGTCAACTAGTTTGATGATTTTTTAAATAACACAGCAAATAACATTTGATATATATGTTTGAAAATTATTTAGTTTAGGGAAATTAGGCCCTATAACTTAAAAAAAAAACAGAAATTGACTAATTACCCAAAAATCCACTTTCTCACCCCCCTTCTCTCCCTATCTCTCTTAACCTCTCTCTAAAAAAACTAATTAATATTTTTTGGTTATTATACAAATAATAAGGCCATTATCTATAATTGGTCCGATTCTTTTTTTTTTTTTATAATAACATCTAAAAAAGAAATCTCATGTCCATCTCGCCAAATAAGAACAACTTAGTTTTGATAGATATTAAATCCAAAACGAAAGAATTTACGATTTGCTCTAAACTAATTCTCACTACCAGATTACCGGTACTTGGTTATCTATAATGTCAACTATTACATCTTTTTTGTTATAATGCTTATAATTTTTAACTAAGCATAATGCTTATATATACATATATATATATACTAATTATTTGGAAAATAAATTGCATTATTTCCATGAAAATGTATTGCTTAAAGACAAAACTTGATCTTGACATGCGCTTAAAAGCGTAGATTATTTCTCGGTTGATAAAAATATATAATATGAATTAATATTTTAGTCTTGTTACATTATTATGTTACAAAATCGTATTATATAAAAAAAATAAAATTGTTATCTTTATTTAGTTAGTTAATGTAATTGTATTTTTAATTGTTTGATTACTATTATTACTTTTAAAATTATAAGGTTTGATCAAACTCGGCATGTCTATTATTTTAAAATAAATTATTTTAAATTAGATGAGACATATTCCCATGCCGTACGTCGAGCCGACTGTTCTGAGCCTCGATCTCCCGCATCCTTGACGTAAGGCATATGCCCTTCGATTCGATCATGTTCTGAACCATGGTCGAAACGTCTCTTATTTTGTCTCGATCCGTTTCACCGTTCAAGTTTTACGAAGATAAATAGAAGATTTCCGCAAGGAAAATGGAAGATCGAGATAAATGGAAGATTCCTGATAAACTCGAATCTGGGCGAAAAGGAAAGACTAAACCGCCTAAGGAGGGAGTATATAAGCAGAAGACCAAGGACAGAGCAAAGGAATGACGAGTTTTCAGAGCTTTCACCACCAAAACTTAGCTTTTAAGCAACTTTCCGTTTTTGTTATCGAGCTGCGTCTCAACTAGGGTTTTAGTCTTAGATTGGTAGAACTAGGAATCTCTCCGATGACTCACACAGCTAAGACTTACTCACGTTGTACTGTTCTTACGCGAATTCAGAATAAGACTCCTTCTTGCTCTCAATCTCGTTTTTATTATCTTTTACTTATTCTCTTCGTTTACTTGATTGCTTGTGTGCGGTTCCGCAGATAGCCGGATCCTCTGGAAAATTAGGGTTTTCCCTAAGTTCCTAAATTTACATAAAATCGACAGGAGTGAATTTTGATTCCTACAAATGGGCTTTTGGTCCGTTTCGAACCTGGGTCTTATGTTACAAATCACACACCACTAACCACTAGATTACAATGCAACTTTGTAATGTTTTCATAATACCAATATATAGATCCAAAATATATATTAAATCTCTGATTAATTTCCATATAATGTCGGATTAATTGATTAGACGCTCTACCTTGTCATTGTAAAAGACCAGAAGAAATTTGCGATAAAGGTTTTGAAAGACATAATTCATCAAGCTCTGAAATGTGTAAAGAGCGCTTGTCAGGCCGAAAAGCATGACAAGGTATTCAAATCCTCGACTGCACACATAGCGTCCAGCGAGTTCTTATACATAACATCAAATTCCTAATAATAAATTGTTTAATGGTATTTTCAACCGGAATAATGACTAACGCCTGGTAAAATGGCTCCCTCTCAGTGTGAATTCAATATCTCATGCATGTCAGCATGTGTCATACCTCTTTCACATGGATGATATCACTAAATTATAACCCATTCTTTCTGTCTTTTTTTGTCTATCCCGTACCTTGAACGCAAGTTTCCACATAATAAAATTATAATTATCGATCTAATAAGATGCCACATTAAGTGTTCGTATGAATTAGTATAGAATCGCAAATATTATTTTTTAAAAATGTATTGGTCCTTTCAGCTAATGGTAAAATGGTTTGCACGTAAGTTGCCTTTTCAAGAATCTTAGAATCAACCGTCCAGTTATTGTGTGTTTGTTGTTCTGGCTTTTACAACTTCTAAAAATTTATACTAAAGAATATGTAATAAATCATAAATATGGTATGAAACCAAACTATATGTGAAAAGCATGTAGCTATAGTAATAACTATCCAACTACCATGTGTGTTAACTTCGCCACTTTATCTTCAACCTTATCACATCTACTCTATTAAAATCTACTCGATTAAGATAGAGTCATTCTTTTTATCTACTGATATAAGTTATCATTTAAATTTGGGTCATTTCTAAAGTGTTACAAATAATACAAGTTATATAGTTGTTGAACCGCATTACTTAAATTAAACCGGCAGTTATTTATGGAATAGAGTTTTGGGCTTACTTTTGTTTTTATGACAAATTATATAGTTTGGGTTTTAGGCTTAGTTTAAAAGAAAAACTCCAAAAAAACATTGAATAAATGTTCTACCTTAATGGATAAAAAAAGCATTACTATTTTAAAGCCCAAAAGTATTTAATATTTTAACAAAACAAAATATATATTATTAATCACTTATTTAAATCATGTACTTTAAAACATGTTAATATTTTTTTTTAAATAACAATCACTCTGTCTTGATAAATTTCAAGGGTAACTCTTATAATAGTTTTTTTTATTCTTCTTAAATAATTTACTGATTTAAAAAAATAAATGTAAAGCAAAACTAAAAACCAAATCTAAAAATTAAAATCCAAAACCAAAAGTTGAAAACGCATGTTATATTTTTGCTTTTGTTTTGTTTATTTACAAAATAAACTATTGATTTTTTTTTTAAATAAAAATTGTCATCTTTTCAGTTTTAAATTAGATGTTCGATTCTTTGGGATTTGTTTGTTGGTAATTATGAGTTCAAACTAACTCAACGGATCTAAAAGCTAAAAACCCAAACAAAAAACTGAAAATTAAAACTAGAAACTTAAAAATTAAAAACCAAAAACCAAAATCTAAAACCAAATCTAAAAATAAAAACTGAAACTAAAAACTAATGCAAAGCAATCATCACCATAAATTTTGGATTACTGATTTTATACCAAAACATACTTTAAATAAAGACAAAACCTAATTATATAAACTTTTAATCAAAAAAAGTTTCCGCGCTTTCAAGCGCAGGTCAAAATCTAGTTGTTTTTAAAATGACATCAAATAATAGAATTAGTGTGAGCTTTATTCGAAATGTGTTTTATTTCCATATAAACCTAGAGTTATATGATGTGGTCACTATACACGTTATAATATACACTAGATTTTGAACCCGCACATCCGTGCGGGTATTTTTCCATTTTATAAAAATATAACAAAACATTTCATATATATATAATTTATATTTTATTGTTAGATATTGTATAATTGTATAATCTTATAATTTTTAATTATTTTTATATAATATATTGTTGTAAGTTTTAAAATAAAAAAATATTCATAAATAATTTTTTATATAATGTATTTGTTGTGAGTTACAAAAATATATGTTAAAATTTTTGTATAAAATATATATAATTTAAAAACTTTAATATGTTTTAAGAGGGAGTGATATTTATTTATTTATTTGAATAAAATATTTTTTTTTTAAATAAAATATTTTTATTTACCAATTTAATATATTTTATCTTCATTTCAAATAGAATTTTATTTTAATATATTACAGAATATAACTAAATTATAAAATATAACAATTTTTATTTTTAATTAACATTAATATAAATATTGATATATATAATCACGAAATTAAATAATGCATATATTATAAAAATATTTAAACTTCTTAGTNAATTTAATATATTTTATCTTCATTTCAAATAGAATTTTATTTTAATATATTACAGAATATAACTAAATTATAAAATATAACAATTTTTATTTTTAATTAACATTAATATAAATATTGATATATATAATCACGAAATTAAATAATGCATATATTATAAAAATATTTAAACTTCTTAGTAAGATCTTGTTAGATATTTTCTCAACAAATTTATTACTAATATCTTATTATTATTATTAAAATATTCATCCAATTATATATATTTGATTGATTAACATAAATACTTAAATATGTCATATTAATGAGATAGTCCAATATGACATTTTGTAGTAGATATAAATGGTACTTCTCTTTTAATAGAGAAGATTTGAATTATTCCTCAAAACTGAGTCATATATGTTGAGAAAAAAATATTGAGTCATATATTGCGTGTTAAAACCTTAATTTAAAACATGTCTTAAACAGAATAAAACAAGTATTTTATGTCTCAGACCGGCTAGATCCAAAGTTCATCTAGACATGGCGATCTCCTATTGGCTTACCTTCATTCATGAATAATGTAAAACAAAAATATAAAATTTGATGATATTTGTGATGAATAATTGTTAAGTAATGTTTAGACGAATTCAATGAATACATCCGTTATAAAAGCCCGTTGCTTTTTTCCTCTCTGTATTATAAAAATCTCACCTTTTCAAACCTCATTTCTATATCAATGGCAGCCATAGATCTCTACTTTGATCCTCTCATGGAATCCAAGCCTCTTGGTCTAAACCAGCTTACACCATACCAAATGTACCAGATTCAGAAGCAGCTTAACCATAGACGCAGCAGCACAACTTCAAACCGAATCCCAATGAAGAAACTCTCAGCATCTTCCTCCAACTCCCAGAAGGTCTACAAAGGCGTAAGGCAGAGACATTGGGGAAAATGGGTCGCTGAGATTCGTCTACCCAGAAGCCGGACTCGGCTCTGGCTCGGAACGTTCGGAACCGCTGAGGAAGCTGCCTTGGCTTACGACCAAGCAGCTTTTCAGATCCGTGGAGATGTCGGGAAGCTTAACTTCCCAAACATGAAACATGACGAAATTAATCATCTCCCTTCTTCTGTCGATGCCAAGCTCCAAGCTATTTGTCTGAGTTTGAGAAAAACAGAGGAGACATGCTCTGTTTCGGATAAAACAGAGGATATATGCTTTCTTGGTAATAAAACAGAGCTTTTCTTGCCAAAAACAGAGCATGTGGAAACGAAATTCTCCGAGGAGTCATCGAGAACCGATGAGAATACGTTGTCGGACGAGTTTAAACATGAATGTCCGTCTTCAGGACAAGGTATAACATTACTAGAATTCTCAGATACTGAGTTTAACGAGATTGGCAGTTTCGGACTCGTCAAGTTTCCTTCGGTGGAGATCGACTGGGATGCGATTAGCAAACTTTAATCTCTCAAAACATAAATTTTAACACTTGTTGAGATTTTTTTGGTTTGAATGTCGTATCTGTCACTGTCCTTTGTTGGTCGTTAAGTGTCTAGCTAAGCTCCATGTGTTGGTTTGGCTTGGTAAGTTTTAAAGTCCTTGCCTTTTACCAACCAGAGGAACTTTTTTTTTTCTTTTTTAACTCAACTTAAACTTCATATTAACCAATTTGGGAGTACATGATTTCACCATTAGGGGATTCCACCACACTTACATACAAAGAACTCTGGTAACACCTAGAATCATTAGATTGGATCCTACGCTACCTGAGGTAAATCTTTGATATAATTCCAACCCAATGAGCACAAACTCTTTCTAAGACTCAGAAAGAGTTGCCTCTTAACCACCTAATTAGACCGCAATGAACAAAAACATTAAGACATGAAATGACTAAGTTTGTCTTGACTCCTAGTAACATTCGGGAATTGGTCTCCGGAAGATAAGAGTTTTGCACACAGACCAAAACATCCATACCAGCTGATGAAAATCTTGACAAGCATCAGCCAGCACCAAGTCCAATGCCTCGTTCCTTTAGCCAAAAACCGGAATGAACTCCGGACTGCAGAAAATCGGACCTTGACGGCAACAACATGACTGGACAGCAAATCAAAGTTTCCAAAGGTGTGAAGCTCATACCACGAGAGGATATACCACCGGCGCTGGGATGTAGAGCTCCACCGCGTACTAAGGCAAGGCGCACACCTCCGGCTGACAACTCTGAGGATGAGAGACCAAGCGATGCGCTGTCACCGGGCACCGGAGAATAGAACCTTTATCACCGAACATCACACCACTCCTCCATTTTTAACACCGCCGTACCCTAGGGTAGATCGGAAGTAAAAGAGGTCACCCACTGTGTCACGTGCCGCCGTCGTGGAAGAGAGCACCGTAGATCTGAGAAAAGGAAAACTAGATCGGGCGTCCACTCCAGCCCTAAAAGCCGACCTTTCCCCCTCCGTCCGCTCCTAGGTCTCGCCGCTCCTCCAAAACTGTTGAATAACCATCCTCTGTCCTTAAAGACTTCGACACAGAACCAACAGCTTCAGAACATCTTGCATATCGACCAGGAGAAAAGATAGATGGATAAAAAGGCAAAAGGAAAAAAGGAAAGGGAGAATAGATTACCTCCGACACCGGCAAATCCGGGCCGGAGTTAGGGTTCTATCTTACGGTGGAGAGAGTTTTTGGAGAGATCCAAGCGGAAGAACTTTATGTATCTGAAAGCTACTATTTTGTAGTTTTCTTTTGTTTTGTACTATAACAGTGTTTTTTGTCAACATGAAACTAAAGGTAAATAAAAAATATAAACCAATTTGGATAATCAAATCGAAAGTACGGAACTATCATGCACCCAAAGAAAGAGATCGAACACCACGTGCAAACTTATTTGTCAAATTGTTATACGCTCTTGACATATGTTTAAAAAAATTTCTTATAGCTTTCAAATTCTTTCATGCCTATAGTGAAAGTTGGACATTCCTTATGCGTATAGTGAAAGTTGGACAAGCCTAGATATCATCTTTAATTAATTGAAAACAACTTATTACAAATACCAGCTATAAGAATATTAATATAAGAATATTAATGTTCTAAAATTGGTTTTAGGCGACCTGCCTAGTTGATAGAATCTCTGTTTATGATTGATTGTTTTAAAAATTCTGGAAAACACTTCTTTACATTGTCTACTTCAATTCCTCAAGCACTCGAAACCCAATTTGCTATTTTTACCCTTAATAAATCTAAAAGTCGTTCTTCCATTTCCTCTTCTAATATCAATTCATTATATAAAATTGAATATATTCTAGGAGATAAATTACTAGAAACTACCATTCCTTTAGTAAATTCTTATGAATACTTTTCTAAAAAATCCAGCACCTCCTCCGTCAAAGGAGTTCGCGACCTCATATCACCATCTTCAAGTCGGAAGGTCATGGACTACGTTCAATCCAACAATTTCTCATCTTGCCAAGTACCAGAAACTGAAGAAGAGCAATTCATCTCTCTAAACATCCCAGAGAACTTACCCAAAATGTGGCAGCGACAAGGCTATACTCACCTCCACTTTGGAGTTGTGAGACTTGGTCTGACCTTACACGCCAGAAAAGGTCTACCAGTCGTTGCTCGTATAGCTTTAATCAATTCACGATTACAGTCATACCAACAAGCATGCATCAGAACTGTCCAGACGACATTAAATGCCTGAATAACATTTATAACACTGTTTCCAAACTTTAAGGTTTCATTTAGGCATGGGTGTTTCGGGTATCGGTTCGGGTATTTTGGGTAGTTCGGGTAGGGGGTTAGAGGATCCATTTACTACTTGAACTATTTTTGGTTTGGTTCGGTTCAGATAGTTTCGGATTCGGTTCGGTTCAGATAATAAAACTAGGAATCAGAAAATACCTAGAAAATTTGGTTCTCATTTAGTTCCGGTTCGGGTAATTCAAGTAAATTATCAGTTATTTAGAATAAAATATGAAATAATTAGAACGATTTAGATACAAACTTCAGATATTTCAGATTACTTTGGATATTTGGATAAAATTATCCGTATACTTTCAAGTAGTTTAGACACTTTATAATTATTTAATTATCTTCAAGTATTTTTGGATAAAATCATAAAAACATAGTTGCTTAAAAGAGTGATTTAAGAACTCGAGTATGCTTTTGTAATGTTGTTGAAACTCTCTATACGTATGATTCTTCTGATAAATATTGTTTTGTCATGTCCTTGAAAGCTTTATATGTCACAAAACAAATGCTCAAGCTTTGGTTGCTATTTGATTATTATATTTTCAAAATCTCTTTATGTGGGCAAAATAAAACATAACTGTAGCCAAAGTATATACCGCACTATTTGGTTGAGGTTATTAACAATCTGAAGAGTTCGATTTGGTTTGATTTAAAATCACCAGACCTGAGATTCTGAGAATCAGCTGTTTAATCTCTTCACTCTAACGTGAAAAACAAAAGCAAACTCTTAAGAGGACTTATACGGGCATAGCAATTAATCTTGGACACTGTTATTATGATGTCATTAGACCTTATATATATATATATATATATATAGTCTCACAACTCAACAGTCTCCCACTAAATTGCTCAAGTTCTTGAATTGGCGAGAAATGTTTCGTATTCCATCAAAGACTTGTTTGCTCTAGCCTTGAGCCATAAACTTTCATAGAAGAGCACATGTGGGTTGATTTGCTCTCCTGTTTGATGATTTCTTAACCCCTGCAAACATTTCAAACCATAGTCCATCGAAGCCACAATTTAATGCTTCAAAAGTATATAATTACAGAGCATACCTGGCCAAAGCCATTCTCTTTTGTCACACCATATTCAACTTGAGGATCTGCTCCTGTTTCCCCTAAGACCATGGGCTACTTCTCTTTCCTTGTAAAATCAATGCTGGCACTCTGACTTCTCACCTTCCTTTTAGAGGAATATAGTAAAAGTAAACATTGTTAAAATAAAACCATTAGTTATATTAGCAGCATAAAGATCTCACATGTGCTTTAAGATGCTGAAATGATTCAATGAATTCACACGCATCTATGTAGCAAATAAATAAGATTCAGATTGTTTTGTTTAAAAATGAAAATTCAGAATCACACATCTACGAACCCCTATACAGTCCAAAATGATTCGGATCCTTTTTAAAAAAAAACGGATTCATACATCTTTTGCTACCATTAAACTATATAAAAACACATAACATAGACATTAACATCATACAAAGAATCAAGATCATAACCAAAGGCTAAATCAAATATTGATTTTTCATCAATAAAACACAGAATCCTACACGATGTGAAGCTATGATGATTGATAATGCAGCTAAGAGAGGATCGAAGACACTAACCGAGAGGATTAGAAATCTTGAAGGAGCTCTTAGCCATGGCGTCTCGATCCGACTCTGCAAATTTCAAGCACGCAAAGATCATGATTTTTAAATTACAAAGACGACCAGTGATTGAATTCGACTCAGAACAAACCTAGATACTTGAATTGAGAAGAGACTCACTCGAGGAAAAACTGTACCAAATTCCTTCTGGACTCATTCAGCCTCTTCTGGGGCTGTGTCCTTACCGTCGCCTAATTAAAGGTTTTGATTCATACTTATTGCTCTTTTAAAACGAACAGAGCCAAGGTTTTAATTTTACATCGAAGTGGACCAAGATTATCTTGTAAGAACTAATAGACAATGAGATATGGATCAGGCTACACTTTTGTTTTAAAAAATATATTCAAATTCAGACACATAAGAACCCTAGTTTGTGAGAAATAACCATCAGTTCATAATCTTACTTTTTAGACAAACAGAATCAAAACATAAAGAGCAAAAAATGAAACAAATAAACGTAAACCCAGATATGAATCTTACATTCCCATTGATGAGTAGCAAATCAATAAACTTCATTTAGACCCCACGCTTGATACTTTGGGCCTCCCAGAATCGGAGGACTCGTGCCTGGACAACGGAGGAGCACCTGCCGATCTTCAAGTCGGAGAAAAAAACCCTAGAATAAGCCATTCTGAAAGTAAAGGATTGAAGAAAACTAGCTGAAGGAGAGGACTTACATGTATTTATCAGAGAGAGAACATTGATGTAAACATAGTGGGAGCCAAATATTTACATCAGCCATTTGAGTTTTGAGATGAAGCAGACAAACCAAGCGTCACTGGCGAAGAAACGGCTCTTTAGGTCAACAACAGAAACATAAGCGGGCCAAAACAATAGAAACCAAGAATAAGGAAAATAACCCAAACATTACTGGCCCAAATCAAAAGCTGTCCTACATGGACTTGCTAGCTGGTGGGTGAGGTGACATGCTTGAAAGGGAGAGAAACACAAAATTATATAATAGATAGAATTACGAGAGAGAAAGCTCTATATTTATAGGGGAATAAGTAGGTAACTGGTGCCTTTATCAAGAAGTAATTAATATTTTCCTAAATAA